TGCACGTATAACACAGTTTTGCTAGAATACTCTAATAAAATATGAAATATTCTTTTAATTAAAAAAAAAAGTTAATACTACTACTAACTTGCCAAGTCAACATTAGTTTAAACTATGACTAAATAAGAATTTTGGAAGATGGGTCACATGCAGTTTATAATGGCACTTTACTGTGTCCTCCAGCTCTGCTTGTGTACAAGTCTCTCCATAGCCTCGCACCAAAATATATTAGTGACATGTTAGTACCATATGAACCAGCCCGGACTCTGAGGAGCACAGGGACTGGACTCCTGTTAGTGCCCAGAGTCAGAACTAAACATGGGGAGGCTGCTTTTCGGATTCATGCTGCTAAAATCTGGAACAATCTTCCTGAAGATGTGAGACAGGCCTCCTCTCTGACAATGTTTAAAATCAAGTTAAAAACAGTTCTGTTTAGCTGTGCATACAACTGAGGGATTTTATATTTTTATCTTTCGTTTTAATGTTCTGTGATTATTTATGATTTTAATGCTATCTTGTTCAGCACTTTGAGTTGCCTTGTGTATGAATTGTGCTATACAAATAAACTTGCCTTGCCTTGCCTTGCCTTGCCTCTTTAGCCAATAAAGTTGATTTACAGGAACTTGGATTGAACATTTTCATCCAGGTTCCAGAGCTTATGTCTTCAATATTGTTCGTACATGTTATAAGCCCTGCCATGTTTCTGTCACAAACACAGGTGCTTGGTGGAAAACATCATGGGTATTCTGCAGTGAGGTGTCAGTATGTCTGGAATGCTCATAGGGGCTCTGTTGACCTGGGACAAACAGATGCATGCTGGGATTGAGCATATGGGGACAAAACAAGTTTGGCTGCGGCACTTTGTCAGCTCTTGAACGTGCTAGTCTCTAGTGAGAACCAGGGCCTGAGGCCAATAGGCCTGGCCGTCTTGTTAACACTCTGTGAAAGACAAGGTCAAATAACTGCACATGTTTTGATTTTCAGTTTATCAACAAGCTCCATCCTTCTCCAGCCTGTAATGTGTTTACTTTACACTCTGTACATAGATTATGAATATAGTGTTCAATACACACATCCTTCAAACAAATCCATCCCAAGTCCAGGACCAAATCATGTTAGTCTTGATCTAGTCCAGGTTTAGTTCTGATTTTATAGTCTCATATTTAGATGTAGTTTATTCATTTTTGGAACTGCGATGTCACTCAGTTTGGGCCAACTTATCTTCCAACTTATCTATGCTCGTTCTCTAACACCTTTTGGGTGTTCCCCATCTTGACTTTGGTGTTTCCAGACCTTACTCTGCACAGATGCATTATCCTAATAGATAGATTCTGTTGTTCATAAGCCATTGCTTTTCTTATAACATTAAAAAAATTTAAATATTGACTTCTCACCCAATACTTCTGTCACTGAAAAGAAAATAAATAGACATATTTTGGTCTATTAATAAACAGTAGTACAGAGTACATGTTAAAATAAACTATCTGCATTGAAAATACATCCCCTTTGTGATTAATGGACAGAAGCACCTGGTTTTAGCCAAATATTTAGAAGTATGTTGATTGAATTGGTCTCTAATAATGAATGAAGACACCTTCTGAGGCCCATGTGAGTGAGAGAAAAAACATACAACAGCTGGAGCAGGAATGTGTCCAGCGGGGCCAAATATATGAGAGCAGAAATAAAAAAATGTATGACCCAGGAGCGGTGTGCAAACTAAAGACCAGAGTGCAGACAAAGCGAAGAACGCGTAGTATTTGTGTACACTGAACTGAACCTATTTGGCATTTTTGTGTGGAAAAGTGTGTGTATATAACCCCATTGTCCAAACATGCATCCTCACTTTCAACAATCAATACGACAATAAGAGGTCAGGAAGCATGTTGAGTATGACTGTGGTTTTGTGTGGATGGAAAAAACATATTATTATTATTACTAATTATCATTTTTCACTTATCTTTCATTAAAAAGTGCATGTAAGTAATTAAACACACTAAACTTTGGTTAAGAAGAGGGGATAAAAGTAGACTTCACATGGTCAGCTTTGAGCAAAACTAAACGTATTGGTCCTATTGGATTGGTGCCAAATTGTCTGTATCTTCAACCATTTTTATACATTCCAAAAAAATGTGTAGGCCTTTGTCACAAGCCGAGACGTTCATGTGTGCTATGGGCTTGTTTCCATAAACTATGTTTCTGATGAGGAAGAGTTCGGACATGTGTGGTCCCACTGGGGGGAGCTGTAGAAATGACAACTGCATCAGACCACCTGAAAGACTCTTCCCAATAGACATGCCCATTTACCATTTCTGGACAAATCTGGTTCTTCCATATGTTTGTATCCCCAAGTGTTCTAGCAGCGCACAGCAGAGTTGATTGATGAAGAATGACACATAGATCACTGTCTTTACTTTACTCAGTGGGAATCGTCTGCACATAAACACAAGAAGAACTAATAGAAAACACCATGGATCGTTTGAGCTCTTAAAATAGTAACATCCAGCAGTCATGTTTAAAGATATGTCACAAAGCAGCGGGTTAGTAACTCATGACTCATGATCTGATACTATACATGTCTCACTAAATAATGATATCACACTTGAACAAACTCAATGTGAAATACACTTAAGATCAGAAAAAAAGAACCTTCTTGTTCCATGAAAGGTCAGTGTTGCTGCATTTCAAAACAAGGAATATAAGGAGCACTTAAACAAGGTCAATAGAAAAAGATAAATACCGGTAGCAACTCAAATCTATCTTGAGACTATCTATTCTTAAATATCTTTGTTGCTGTTTATAACTATCACTGCACTTATAGAAATGTAGCCTAATACTCTCTGGAGATAAGTACACTCTTCTACACAATTTCAGACGAATATTTACAGCGATATCTAACTGTTTATATTTGCAGCATGAGGATACAGACAGAATAAATGTATATAAAGGTATACTAGTCTGTCCTCTGCATTTGACCCATCCTTCAAGGCCACAGTGCAGCCCAAAAACCCATCTCCAGAACAACACTTACTTTATTAACCAGCTGAAATTTACATTGCAGTCAACAGTAGAAATTAGACATGATTCTGTTTATTTTTATTTTTTTCAGAAAATAGAAAACCAAAAAGTTGGACATGCACAAGTATTCATACAGCACGAGTTAATAGTTTGTGGAACCCCCTTTAGCTGCAATGACAGCAGCAAGGCTCTTGCTCAAGATTTGCACATCTAGAGACAGAGAGTTTAGCCCATTCCTCTTTACAAAACATCTTGAGCTCTGTCCAGATGGAGAGCGTCTGTGAACAGCAGTTTTCAAGTCTGTCCACAGATTTTCTATTGGATTTAGGTCTGCACTTTGGCTGGGCTATTGTAACACTTTAAACCATTCCATTGTAGATCATTGTCCTGCTGGCACCAGCCTCAATTATACTGCTGTGTCTTGCAGACTTTCCCTGACAACAGGTCTGAGGTTTTCATGAAGTAGAATCCTGTCTGTGTGTTTAGTTTACAACACCAACAGTATAAAACCATTCATTATTGGTGATGCAAGTCTCCTATTTTGTTAGAAACTGGAATCAAATTACAATAAATGTGTTACACTTGAATGTGAAAGCCAGACCATGTCAGACCTCTGAAGCTAAGCAGTGCAGGACTGTGTTAATACTGTGATGGGATTCCTCACAGTGGGGTAGCTGTGGCTGCAAAGTGCCAAACTGTTGTTTTGTCCTTCGCCAAGACACTTCATCCACATTGCCTTGATGAGTGTTATGTGTCTGTGAATGGTTGGTTGTGGGGGCCGATGGCACACACCGGGGGCCTCACTACTGTTTGTAGCGTATCACCACCAGAGTTAATGAAAAAGCCATGTGAAGCGTCTTTGAGCGTCTCCAAATAGCGCTATATAAAACCAATTTAATTATATTATTATTAGATTCATTTTATTTGCCATTTGCAGTACAATCACATTGGAATACATTTGCATAAGTCCCCAGTGTGCACCAGACAAGTGCATAAGTAAAACAAGCAAAAAAGAACAAGAATCAAACAAGGTAAACAAAAAAAAGGGAAACAATTGTTGTTATTATTACTACTTAATTACTTGAATATAAATTAAGTAACTGACAGTGATTAAACACTGACAGTGAAGCTGAGTGTCCTGCAGGGGGCGACAGTCATGGTCCAGCAGAGATGGACCCTCCTGTCCCCCACATTCTGCGCTGGGGGGTCAGAGCTGGACTTCCTGATGACCTTGTCCAGCTTCTTTCTGTCCTTCTCTGTGATGCTGCCGTTATTATAATAGATGCTGCTGCTGTAGCAGACCACTCCGAACAGGATGCTGATACCACCACAGAGCCACCAAGGGTTTTCAGGAGTGACCCAAGCACTCCAAAAGACCTGAAGACAGTCTATGGACATGAACAGAGAATTATCAAAACACCGTGTGTCAAATAATTTGATAAAAATAAAAGTAGACAATATATTTGTATTTGTAGATTGCACGTATATATTTATGATGTATCATATTAAAATAAAGGTTTTTATGCATATTATAAATATAATATATTAGTAGAAATACAATTGCCTTGGTAGGCCAATAGGTTTAACCTCAAATTATGTGGACTTTGTATGATGTTTTTAGATGACCACACGAGAAGAAGTGAGTTTTTTAACCATGGTTTTAACGCTACAATTCCAGCGCTGATTGTATGTTGTCATGTTGTGTGTCTATGGTTGTGTAGCTCTGTCTTCACCACTTGGGGGCCGGGGACACATGAGAGCCAGGGGAGGGGCGTATGGAGGAAGTGCTGTGGATGTGTGTTGGTTCATTACCTCCATAGTGAGAGTGTCGCAAACCACTGGATCGAAGCAAAAGCTTGACGCCTGGACGTGAAAGCACGGGCTGTCCGCGGCGGGAGCCTCGGTGTGATGTGCGGCTCTCGGTGAAGCGGACCGCGGGGAGCGCAGCAGTATGCATTCAGACTGCAGGCTGCTTTAGAGTGGTAATGGTGGGCAGACCGACACAGGCCGGGGGTATCGTCCTGTCTATCCTCCTCATCCTCAGCACGGACAGCTGTAAGGCGCAGAAAGGTGGGTCTGTGTCCGCGGTCCGGACCGGTGTGGCCCAGTGTTTGACCCGGAGCTGGGAGCACCTGATACGGCTGCGGAATGTCCGTGTAGCTCCCTGCTCCTGTGCTGGAGCTAACCTGACAAACCGGTTTCCAAACAGAGATTGTGGAAGCATTGTTTTCTGTTCTACTCTTACACTTTCAGCCTACTTTGTTTTCTTTACAGAAAGTAAGATCATGTTATATTAAAGGTAAACTGGTTTGTATACAAACAACATGGTGTAGCTTGTATGACGTATGGATCTTATTCTCACCGTGACTGCTCAAATATCATTATTTAGAATTCATGGGCCTCTGTACACTACCCAAACACTTATAATGTTGTCATTTGAAGGCAGCCAGTCTCAGGTGGGCTTGGTGGGGGTGGGGTGCTGCATAAACACGTGGACACTTTGTCATCCCTTTATCACAAAGTCTGTTCGAGCTTCCTAATATCACTCCGTGGTTTCCACTGGTTTAACCTTTAGTCCAGAGGCTGTTTGGATGGACAGCTCTTCCTTCACACCACACAGTTGTTCTTTAACAATTGTCAGAGGAGGGAGAGGGAGAGAGCAGTTGTGTTGTCCTTATCTTCTGGATCACGTCCACAGTGGAGCTCTTACATAATGGCAGAAAAACAGTCTCTTTTTAACACCATGAAGCATGCCTGTGGGGTGTTCCCTATTCAAGCCACACCATCACCCTGTTTTGACTTCATATCTGCACACTATGTACTGTATAGCCTAGATACAGAACTAGAGGCTCTTGATGCTCAATTATTTTGAGATATAACCAGTTTAGTTTAGCATTGTGTAGTTTCTCATCATGCTGTCAGTATCATAAGATTCTATCACAATTAGTAATATATTATTATAAACTTTTGTTCAGGTGATGGCTGTGGGCGGAGTTTGCTCGGCCCGACCAGTGGGACACTGTCCTCTCTGGGTTACCCCAGGACATACCCCAACAACAGTGTGTGTGAGTGGGAGATCACAGTCCCTCGTGGGAACAGGATCCACTTTCGATTTGCTGATCTGGACATAGAAGACGGTGATTGTCAGGTCAACTACCTCCGCCTTTACAATGGGATTGGTCCTGACAGAAGTGAGATGGGTAAGTACTGTGAGTGCCTGTGCTGCAATGCAGTACTATGTAGAAAAGCATGTTGGTCGTTTTAGATGTTGTAACAGGCTCTATAAAATTCAATGATCACCACACACATTTAAATCTACTATGTATCTTGAGGAACTTTTGCAAAGTAATTTAGGGATGCTGTAAAATTGTTATTCAAACTTATTTTAGACTTGTGCAATAGCGTGACTAAAACAACCGAAAGCAGATGAAAGTAGCACATATCCATATATGGCACAAGGCAAGGCATGGCAAGTTTATTTGTATAGCACAATTCATACACAAGGCAACTCAAAGTGCTGAACAAAATAAGAAAGCATTAAAATCATAAATAATCACAGTACATTAAAAAGAAGGATAAAAATATAAAATCCCTCAGTTGTATGCACAGCTAAACAGAACTGTCTTTAACCTGGTTTTAAACATTGTCAGAGAGGAGGCCTGTCTCACATCTTCAGGAAGATTGTCCCAGATTTTAGCAGCATGAATCTGAAAAGCAGCCTCCCCATGTTTAGTTCTGACTCTGGGCACTAACAGGAGTCCAGTCCCTGTGCTCCTCAGAGTCCGGGCTGGTTCATATGGGACTAACATGTCACTAATATATTTTGGTGCGAGGCCATGGAGAGACTTGTACACAAGCAGAGCTGTTTTAAAGTCTATTCTCTGAGCCACAGGAAGCCAGTGCAGAGACCTGAGGACTGGACTAATGTGGTCGTACTTCCTGGTTCTAGTCAGGACTCGAGCTGCTGCATTTTGAATGTACTGCAGCTGTTTTACAGCCTAAAACAGATGCATCTTTTTCATTTTACATCACCAACTGGTGATTATAGTTTAAACATTTGTGTATTATTAATAAAGATTCAAGAAAATATGATATTCTTTCCATCCTGTTTTTTCCCCCAATATGTAATCATCGTGCTAAATGCAACTGTGTGTTGTATTTATGCAGTGAAGTTGTGTGGTATGGGGCTGACGCTGCAGGAGCTCATAGAGTCCAGCGATCACCAGGTCACAGTCCAGTTCATGAGTGGGATGCACCACAGAGGACGAGGCTTCTACCTGTCTTTCTCCCTAACCGACCACACTGGTAAACTACAACCACACTGCACGTATGCACTATTGATAATGAAGCATTTATAGCTAGCTAAGAAACTTTGCAGCTACTTATATTGTATATTTTGTGTGCTCCCTGTTTGCTCTTACTGCTGTCCTGTATGTGCCCTGCAACATTGAAATTTCCCCACTTTGGGATTAATAAAGGTTCTATCAACCTAGAAAGTAAATGACTATTTGTACTCAAGGCAATTCGAATTAAAAGAATCACTTCAACTGTAATCCTGCAGCAAGAAACAATAATTTTAGTCATTGAGTATTCTATCGATAATTACCGTTTGGTTATATCTGTATTACATTAACAGTTTCACCTTGATAACTGCATATTTTATGAAAAGTATAAATAATAAAATAAATTAAGCCTAAATATGATTACTTTAGAAACATCTTCACTTCTAAATCCGATTGCCTCCTTCAGAGCAGTGTTGGCAAAATGCACAAACATTTCTGTGTGAAACAGTTCTGGGGCTTGATGTGCAACAGTTGCACATAGTTTTAAGCAGATGTATAGTTAAACCCTGTACTTGTCAAATAGTGGGGCGCTCCTCACTATTTAAGAATGCAAGGGGGGCGTGCATGACTGCGGGGAACTTGCCGTTTTTTTAATGTACGTACTCAAACGGGATTCCACATCCTCTGTTGCTGCACCGCTCTGACCCTCTGAGCAATTACGGCCGCCGGGCAGTGAATAACAGTGCCTCCCACCTCCAGCGGCCTCTTGTAGCCACTTTGATGACAGCGCGGCGAGTGGGCAGCTGTCAAGTGTGTGTCTTTGTGCAACCTGTGCACATGATACACACACTGCTGCAAGAAACAGACCTGGATTATAAGAAGTGGATTAAAGTGTCAATGTTTTCCCCGTGTCTCCTCCTGAAGCACATCTAAAACTCACTAAATTAAAGCTGGGGTACCTACATTATCCCTGCATTAATAGTGCACGTTGATCGTGGCCAAGAGTGAAATCTTGTGACCCAACCACATACTTAAGAAAGAACCCTGTAAGTCATTATTTGACTTTTGGGCTGAAGGGGATATTCTGAGCCAATCTAATAATGCAAGGAGGTGGTCAAAATGATTTCTTCCTCCTAAGAGGGTCCTGGCAGAAAATAATTGAGAAGCTCTGGTTTATCTTCTGGTTTATATTCTGGTATCAAGGAAAGAGTAGACATCATGGAATTATAGTGTTGAAGTTTTAATCTAGCAACCATAGTGATATACGTTGCATTTTCTTAAGAACCCTGATTTCTTATTATTACTTTCACTCAGAGGTCATCATAAAAAGTTTAATTTAGTGCCTTCAAACAAGTTCTGACACTTGCTTTGCCGCAGATTTAATCACCTGTTTGGAAAAGGGGGCTGACTTCCCGGAGGCTGAGTTCAGGTAAATGGTGTTCCTTATTTGTTGGCATTTGTTCCACTGAGGAGTTCTGAGCCACTTTGTCTTTGTGATAGTAAATACTGTCCGGCAGGCTGCCTAACGTCTAAAGAGGAGATTTCTGGAACCATGCCAACTGGATATAGAGAAGTGAGTATTTTGTCAAGGCATGCATACATTACACATATCATTACTGTATATTATAGCCTTAAGTCAAACAAGCAGATGTGATATGCTATTGTTATGTACGCTGTGCAGGCCAGATGTAACACAGTGAATTTGGTTTAAAATTATTTCACTTTCAAGATGTATATATTTTTTGCACTATTGGAAGATTTGCTTTTGGAAATTAGATGCAGGGGTTGTGCATATAGAAGAGCTTGTATTATTGAATATGTTTTCAGCTTTTAGTTTTAGACTAAATCACAATTGTGTGCTTCGTAGATGACTTCATGACTCCTGCTGTGAGTGAGGTCATAGGTGCAGTCTCTTGTTGATGACCTCATGTTCAGAGAGGGTGGCGGGACTGAGCTGCCCTCAGGCGTAGGGGAGGGGTAGGTCAATGGGTGAATTTGAGCTGAGATAATAATTTGGCTGGAAACGATAGTCACCTAATCCAATCCAGCTGTGGGAAGCGCATCGACCCATGTGTTGTGTACGTTTGAAAACAAATGACTGCTGCTCTGCACTATACAGTGGGGCAGAAAAGTATTTAGTCAGCCCCCAAATGTGCAAGTTCTCCCACTTAAAAAGGAAGGCCTGTAATTTTCATAATTTATATTATGCCCCACTGTAGTTATCAGTATATAAAGTACATTTTCATGGTTATCACTATGTTTGCACAAGAAAAAATGGTAAAACATGTCCTTTGTGTGAGCATGCTTGAATCTCCACACTTGCTCTGGAGGAGGGTCTCCTCCTTTGGCTTTGATCCCCCACAGTATGGAATAAAGTTTGCACATTTGTATGTGCAAAAATTAGAGTCCTCCCTGGACTCATGAACTACAAACTATAAATCGAATAGATCTATAAGGAAAACTTACGGCTCTCTCCACTGTTTGGCTTCAGTCCAGTGCGGCTGCTATGTTTCAAACCTTAGTTCGGTGCAAGTAAAGATTAAATGAATAATTAAGGCAATTCAATTGTTTTGTATTGTGGATGCACTTGGAGAAAGTCATGCACTACTGCTTTTATATAATGGCACCAAATGAGAAGTGTCGCTTATTGTTGTTGGCTTTGTGTGTGTGCAGCTTGAGTAATGCTTCTTGCCTTTAACTTCTAAAATGTAGGAGGATTATTTGTGAATTCTTGTCATAATGAAACTGTCCCCTTCTTTCTCGTGTTTCTCACCGCTGTCTGGTTGAATATTCTTCTTAGAAATAAACAAAATCCAAACTGGACATAAATCTTTGTTTTAGTATTTTCTGCCTGGTTCAAGTCTCTAACTCTGTCTGCCACACAGTGGTTTGCTCGTACAAGCTGTTTGCGTCTGTGGTTTGGAACGGTGCTTTTTAGGATGTGGTTTATGTTCTTTCTACGAATCATGGGGAAAGTGTTGATGACTTGTGGCTGCTCTGAGAGCTCCGCCTGTGTCCAGAGCACGTGAATAATACAACATGCGTGTATTCAGGATTGTCACTTCATAGGTCTCGGGCTTTTTCCCACAATTGTGTCAGCTGTGAATTCCAGTGGGCCATTTCCAGTAAAAACATTCCACCTCAGGCTGCAGCTGCCCTGGAGGGAGGCTTGTGGCCAGAGCAGAGTCATGTTTGGTTTGTGCGTGATGTGGTGGCAGGTTGATACCAGCTGGTGGTGAATCATTATCAGCACGCCTCATTGTTGTGCTCTACACTTAGCTTCTCTGTCGTCACACTGAACTCAATGTTCAAATCAAACATCTTTTCCATGCCATAAGTAGTAATCTAATGTAGTGTCATTTTGCAGCTCTTTCATTGTTTGTTCTTTTGTCCGGCAGTCCTCCCCCCTGTGCGTAGCAGCCATTCATGCTGGCGTCGTGTCCAACGCTTTGGGAGGAAAGATCAATGTTGTCAGCAGCAAGGGCATCCCTCACTATGAGGGCACACTGGCCAACAATGTCACTTCCACTGGGTAAAACTAAATCACATTAAAGTGTGCAATATCTGATAATGCCATATTTCAACTGTCTTTTATGTCTGTCTTTGCAGAGGAACGTTATCAAACAGCCTTTTCACCTTCAGGACAAGTGGTAAGTTTAGTTACATTCACCAATGGTTTACTTCAAACTCTGTAAACAGCAGTTTGTCAATTGTTCATTCTTTGGGCAGCCTTCAGGGTAGTAGTAAAATAAATGCTAGTAATGTACGTCATACTCAGTTACATCCACGTGTTACTTACTTCAGTTTGAAACTCTGGCAGGCTGCATAGGAACTTTAGGTTTGGAGTCCGGGGGAGTAGCAGACAGCCAACTCACGGCCTCTTCCGTTTGGGAGTGGCACGGCCTGTGGGCACCTTCCGGTGGACGACTGAAAAAGAAAGGACTGCCCTGGGCCCCTTCACATAGTGACCTGCAGCAGTATCTACAGATCGACCTCAAAAGGAAGAAGATCATTACAGGTACAGGCCTGGTCTTATACTGTATTGAATACATTATGCGAGGTTTATTCGGCTATAATCGTGTCCCCTCACTTTTGTTCAGGCATAATCACCACAGGTTCCACCATGAGGGAGTACCAATACTACGTATCAGCATACCGCATTCTGTATAATTATAATGGCCACTGGCAGAGCTACAAAGAAACCAACGCTACAAAGGACAAGGTAATAACAGAGAATCAATTAATCTCTCTGACTGCAATGTGACATCGTTGGTTTGGTCTCATTTATTAAAATGGACACAAGCGTTTGTGCAAATGGTGGATGGACATTCTGGAAATGTTTCCATTGTAGCTGGTATCGACTGAGAGATGTTTATGGCAAGAAATGAGGCAAGTTGGTGAGTTAAGTGCTGTGGTGGACAATTTAGGACACTGGGGGATGAATAATGAATGGATATGGATCTGCTGGAACAGCACGCACTTCTGCTTCATGGGCCTTATTTAAGTGCAGTCTTTATTTCTGAGTGGAAAAGCTGCAGTACACATTACCAAAGCATCTTTTACACTGTTAGTCCTGCTGTTACTACTATACCTGTCTGGCTTATCACACATTACATACATACATACATTAACTTATTGTGCTTTATCAATACCTAAAATAGTGTTTGTTTTCATACAGGTTTTTCAAGGTAATATCAATTATCTGCATGAGGTGAGGAACAACTTTGTTCCTCCAATTGAGGCCAGATTTCTGAGGATAAATCCCTTATTGTGGCACCAAAGAATTGCGCTTAGGTTGGAGTTGTTTGGCTGCCAAATTCAAACAGGTAATTATTATCACTCTTATGGCCAATGAAAATGAGCCACAATCAGAATGGTACTATATTTTTGTGCGCAGTGACTGCAGGACCAAGAATGATGTCTCCTTTTAATCCAACCCCACGTTCAAAAGTTCCCCCACGACTCGGGCCGACTACAGCCACGCCAGACATACGGAACACCACCGTGCCTCCTCACTCAGAAAATGGTACATATAACTTTTCTCAGCTTTTTCATTCATGAATATGCGTTAACAATGACAAAACTACAAGCATAAGCCACGTCCCATTTTTATTTGTTTGCAGCAGCTGAGATTAAACTAAACTGTAAAGTCAAAATATAATTAGCAAAAAGTCAAAACATTGTGGTGAAAGTCAGACAAAGAAAAATAAAGCCTATACAAGTAATACTTTATTCTTTTTACTTTTTTCTCATAGTAATGATCTCAAACATAATATTTTGACATCAATGTCATTGTCTAACTAAAGATAAATGTAATCAATAATTACATTTGAAGCACTTCCTGGTCCAGAGTTAATCGAACCGCCTCAACTGATTTACGCTTTTATTTACTTTATTATTCTTTCTATGTAATATTGTGGTTTTCAACATATATATATATATGAATTATTTAATAAATTCTCCACCTGTGTCCGCACACGTTTGTGCTCTGTACCAGCCGGTGGTGGAGGAGTTGGGGGGAATGGTCATAAATTCGCTCCCATGAGTCTGGTGCATTCAAAAAGTTGCTACAACTAGTTTTACAATATGCTAGCACCTGTTTGTGGAGTTGTGCCAAACCTGAGGCAGAGCTCGTTTTGTCTGGGCACCATGCACGGGATGCAAGGTGGATGCAGCAGCCTCTGCAGTGAGAAGAGGATCTCTGGGCTGTTTTCCACTCAGACTTTGACCCACAGACTGGAGATAATGTGTTCTGTGGTAATGTTACCACTGCAGATGGAGACACTAATGGAGCTCACATTTCTGCTTCTGTAGATGCTGCTGTGTGAATTAAACTGTTGTGCTCTGAATTTGTGATAATTAGACACAGTGAAAGACGGTAACTTGGCAAAATTCAGTAAAAGGCGGATTATTGGTTAATCTCGTTCTACGTTGATACCAATTATTATTTTTTCAATATCGATACTTGGCAAATGCATATCTATAATCGAATCGCGGGAGAAAATATCGCGATATATCATCCCACTTCTAGACACGATACACGAGTGCAAACTCCTGCACACTGTTCATGACAAATAACACTCATATGAAGTTGGATCATCAGTTTATGAAGAGTATAAAACCCACCTTGAGCTTCTGTGAACTCTGGACGAGGCTTCCCTCCGTGAATTTACGATGGTGCTTGATTGTCTCTAAAATATGACATTACCGGTAATCCCATGACTTTTTCAGACTTTAACATTAAAGTCGCAATATAAGGACTTTAATCTCATATCGTCTGCAACAAATGAAATGAGGTATGCTCCGCTCTGCAAAACTCTTTGTCCCCTGCTCTAGGTATGGCTCTGATTGCAGTTTTAGTTCCAGTTCTGGCCATGATCCTCACTGGTCTTATTTTGACCATAGTCTGTGCTTGTCACTGCAAAAACAGGTATGTGCTTTTAGTAATTTATTAATTGATGGCTTATTTTTTCAATGTGTTAAGCTTTTTTTAAATGTTCTCTACAGAAAACAAAACACTGATGGCACATATGATCTCCCTCACTGGGACCGCACAGGTGGGCAATCGGCTGTGATTTTACCATGTATTTGTTCAGGTAAAATATGTTTTAACTATGTTTAACAGATTGGTGGAAAAGCATGAAGCAGCTGCTGCCGTCAAAAATGTTGGACTCTGATGAGACCGTTCGATATAGCAGCAGTGAGGTGGGCCGTCTCACGGGGAGGGGAGCTGTCCCCATTCTACATGCAGAACCAGCAGGTAAAGTGTATGCACTACACATACATGTAACTTTAAATGATTATGTTTACTGCTTGAGTCACACTGTGAAACATGTTATCTCATTTGTCAATCTTGTCATGTACTAATGTATTTTCTTATCCTAGAATATGCTCAGCCTCTGGTCAGCGGTGTAACAATGTTGGGTCCACGCTCCACATTTAAACCAGACGAAGGGCTTGAACCAGGGTACTCTGATCCAGACCTGTACGATGCTCCCATGTCTCATCCCTATGCAGAGCCCCTGCCCGCCTCCGGGGCGGAGTATGCTACTCCTATAGTAGTCGATATGAGCCAGCCCCCAGCCGTCTGCAGCTTCATGGGACCCTCCACCATCCTCACGAAGCCTGAAACGGGCAAGTTGAGGTCGCCATATGATACGCCCAAAAATGTCACTGGACAGGTCACACCCACAGAGGACCTCACCTACCAGGTACCTCAAAACAGCGCTCAGAAGAGCTGAAGTGGAACGAGTCTCGATGCACATATCTGCTTCCTCCTCGCTGCTGCTCTATACAATTGACTGAAACGAGTTGCAGACGAGGAGATGGCAACCCCCGAGCCTGAGCTGGAGTCTTGAATGAACTACCTGAACTTTAGGTTCACTTGGAGATGTCTGTATTTCCCAAATGAAAACGCATGGCCACAATCTGCTTGTGTAGTGCCATGACAGTCCTATCACTGAAACACAGATGAATGTGCCGATGCCAGGTTTGAAAGTGAGAATGAGAGGTGACTACTACATGTTCTGTGACTTGTACATTCTTTTAAACTGTGAGATTCTGTAGCTTTTCTGTTACATAATGAACTAAATCACCGACCACATCCAACTCCCTTTTTATGGTACGGTTTCTTCAACGCAGTGGTTCCCAGAGTGGAACCCTCTGGGGGCCTCCAGAGCTTTGTCTGGTCAGAGGGTCAACAATAACATCATTCTATTAACCTGACTCCAATTATTGAATATTTATTTTAAAAAAAGCTTGTAATTTATTTGTGGGGGTCTCAAATTTAGACACGGAGGCCTTGGAGATAAAGAATGGGAACCACTTTGTCCAAATTTACACTTGAAAATAAAATATACTCTGCTTACCAAACCTTTTGACAATATTTATTAGTTCCATTGTTTAGTATCAGAACTAAACAATCGATCCACTGCCTAAAAAAATTGCACTGTTCAACAAATTAGTTTCAGACAACTTGAAACCCACAGGAATGTTTTTTTATATGACCAAATATATTGCCTTTTTCAAAACTTAGCGTGCCAACAGATCACAGTAGTCTTAATGCCATGCTAAGTCATTACAAACATCTGGTACAGAAAAAGATGGATTTTTTTCCTGAATGTGCTTTTGTGGAGTCCGTTTCCTATTCTTGTTTTGACTGAGTCTTGTAACAATATACATCACTTATTTTCTTTGACTTCATTCCTTTGTCCTGTCCTGATGTTGTCTTGACCAAATATGCCTTTTAGCTGTAGCCATTTTAAATTATGCTGAACAATCATCACACCAATACTTCCCGACACCAGTCCTCTGGTGACTATGGGATTGTGCTATGTTCACACTGAGTGTAAATAGTCAAATAAAGATTTTAAACAAACCTTAAGCTAATGTGCCTTTTGTTTAAGATATGATTCATGATTTGTGGGAAATAATGAATCTAATTCATTTTCTGCAGCAGTATTTAGTATAAACACTTTGATAATGTTAGCTTTTTACTTTTAATAAACACAGTTAAATATTAGTTCCTTGATCTAAAGGGGGGCGACAGTAGCTCAGTTGGTAGAGCATTGGCCTTAAGGCCAGAAGGTCGTGGGTTCAATTCCCACCCCTGCACCTTCTCCACCGACTCCCACTGATGACTGCTGTTGTTGTGTCCTTGGGCAAGACACTTAACCCCACTTTGCCCAAAGCTCCCACTGAAAGATCAAGGCTATGCTCAAACTCAGAGAGCAGCCGTCCTCCTGTGGACTCACCACCTGCAGAGGGTCAGTGAGGGGCTGGTGCTATGAGACTTGGGTGGCATCTCTGACTACCACCCCCCTGACCCAGAAATGGATTAAAGGGTAGAAAATGGATGGATGGATGGATGATCTAAAGTCTATTTCATGTAAATTAACCGTACGTTCACACTTAAGTCCAAAGTGAAACAATTGGAGACTACTTCATGTGGAGACTTAAAACTGACAACTTTAAGAGTAAACTTCACATCTCCTAATGAAGCATTTTTTCCTGATTGGTTCACTAAATCAGAGGCATTTTTTCCCCCCAAGAAAATGTTACTTCTTTCTAGATTACTTTTTGTTGGGTATATATTGAAACAAAACTGTTTTTCATACACATTTCAAAACAACTTGAACTGGATTCCAGTAATAACTTAAAACAAAAATAGGATCAGAAATTTACAGGACAAATGTTTTGTATAGTTTTCACAACTTACATTATTTTGCCAAGTAATTGGTTAAAGTGAACTTGTTAAAGAGTTTACATTCACATCAGTGCAGTCTCATGAGCTTACAGCTCTATATTTGTTTCAAATGTAAACGTTGCTGAATCAGTGCATCTTTCCTCTCAAGCTTTCGCTCTTCACTCCTCCATGTTTTTGCCATCCTTCCCAAACTTCCACCAGACGGCAGTTTGGACAATGGCCAGGACCATAATGAGGCTGCTGGTCACCAGGTAAGCAATGGGCAGGAACTGGTTCTGACCTCCAAACCAAGTCAGAGTGGTCAGCACCACTTGCTTTCGTCCTCGGAAATACTTCACAGGGAAGTCTAGAAAGGCAGTGGTTAAGGTGGAAACAAGGCTTTAAATAGTTCTGTTTATGTGGCTAAGTGCCCATCACTCTCCTCTGGATTTAAAGGATACTGTAGTTGATGTTAATGCTGTAATTGCCCGCTGGCAGACCCTCGCCAAACGGTGCATTCTCTCGGCTCAGGACACCATACAGCTTCTTAAAGTTTGGAAAAGCTGCCTCTCTCATCCACACGATTAAGTCATCATTAATAAAGCCGTTGTTTGTGAGATCTGAAGGGTCGAGCTCGTACACATTCTTCTGCCAGTACAGAGGCTTCACAGTTCCTATTCACAAGACAACATCAGTGCTGTTCACAGAGGCTGCACATGTTCTTACCATTTACCATTAAAAACGTCCGGTAGAGTCAAGTTTCCCATCTTTGGATTCCTGTACTTGACATTTTTGTCTGTGTACCATGTGATGCCCTGTCGTATCAGATGGACATTGTGTGTCATGTCACTCGAATGGTACATCAGAGCAAAACTGTCTGAGGAGACAATCATCAGGAGAATAGAGTCACACATCAGGAAAATATAAAGTCACATCAGGAGGATATAGTCACATCACCATTGAACATGCTGTTGGCCACAGCGCCACAGGGGGCGATAGGGAGTCCTTTTGAGTCTCTGTTAAACGGTTTACAGTAGGAGCTGGGAGTCTAGGAAATGCAAAAAAACGGAACAATCATGAACATGGTTTAACAAAAGCACACAGCTGTGGCCTAAAGCAGAATCAGTGGCTCATCAGGTGAGAAAGGAAACTACTATTGGGTCATGAAATTATGTTTTGAGTAGGATTACCTTGAGATTAGCCTTCCTGCCCACCATCTGCCCATCATCTCTGGAATCCATGTAGCGCCTCAGGTTCTGGTGGAAGTTTCTAAGGCCGTAGTAGAAGAAAACATCACCCTGCAAAACATTACTCTTAGAAACCATGTAATAACAACAGAAGGGGGACCTAATTTTCAAAAAGGTTAAACTACTCAACATAATAATAATGCATTGGTTTCATAAAGCACTTTGGAAGACACTCAAAGACACTTCACATGTCATTATTCCTTCACTTCATACACAGTGGTGATAAGCTACTAATGTAGTATAGCCATGGTTGGCCTGGGGCACACTGCAGCGAGGCAACCAGTATGTGCCATCAGCCCTTCCAACCACAACCAACCATTCACACACTCATTTTAGACAATGTGGGTGAAGTGTCTTGCCTAAGGACACAGCAGAAGTTTGACACTTTACAGCCGCAGGCACCCCACTGAGGCATCTGTTGTTCACAGAGGTCTCCCATCACAGAACTAACCAGGGCCTGCCCTGCACAGCTCCAGAGGTCTAACGGGATCTAGCTTTTGAATGCAAGTCAAACTAATAAGGTCTTTACCAATTACTATTTGGAGCAAAGGTAACCACTTTGGTCTAAAGAGTCATTAAGTGATCCACTTGACTCCTGGGCTCCTAATAAGTTTGCAATATTTAAAAATACTTTACAATATTATGACATAAAGCAGTATGTTTGCATAATACTTATAATTTAGTTTATTTATGCGTCATTACCTTGAAAGGTTTTTCAAGCGAGAAAACCACTGTACATTCACAGGGCTCTGACGAATAGCTCACATTTTTACGTTTCTCAAAGCATTTATCACAGGTTCCAGCCTCTGTGTAGTCCATCTGAGAGAAAACACATTTGTTAGTAAGAATAACAACACGCTTTCCTCGCTCACATTTTATCTCCCTTTCTTATCTTGTCCTCTCAGTGACAAACCTTTCAACTTGAGCTAATTTTTGGCAATCATTGTTCAGTCTTACCTTCATTTCCTGAGTGCTCTGTACAGTCAGAAGCAGCCACACTCCCAATAGCATGCATACTAGAGCCGTGATGTAAAAGAAAGGCAGAACCGTGTTAGCCGTTAGCATTGGAGACCAGGCGGGGAGTCTCTGCTGTTTGAAAGCGGAGTTGTCAGGCCTCCGAGCCAGAGGGCCAGACTTGGTCACTTTACCCATTTCCCAGCACTCAATAGAGCTGCAGCAGATGAGCACAGACAGGACAAGAGCAACAACCAAAAAAAAGCTCTTCCTGCTTTTGATTTTGTAATATCTCTCAGCGAACACACGCACACTTCTGCTTGCCAAGAGAGACTTTCCCAGCAGGCTTTGCAGGGTGGGACAGATGAGGCCTGTTACTGATTAACTACAATGCTTTGCTCAATTACTTGCTCTTTCGCAGCTTCTCGATCCTTTTTATGATCTTACCAATCCAAAACAGATTACTTTCTTTTGTTTTTATAGTTACTTCGACAAATACACGCATGCCGAGTTTGGTAATGTTTTGGCTTTTAATAATAGATATAATCTGACGCTTTGATGTTTGTAATTTTGCAGAGGTGGACGAGGGAACTTTTCACCTCTGACAACAAGAGCCACTTTCCATGTTCAATTCCAGCCAGTTTATTTATCACAAGACATTTTACACACTTGGCTTTACCCCCAACCAATCAAGCCTTTTACAAAAGATAAAAAAAACCCACTTAAAATAGACCAATTCTGAATTCTTTACAATCTTTTATAATCTTCCCTAGCATATTCATGAAGTCCAACTTAATCTGAAAATAAATACATAAATAAATTATTTAAATTAAATTAAATCTCTTGCAAAATTTTTTTTAAATGCATTGTCGCTCACCTCAGGAATGTCCACCATTCTTCTAAGCTTTTGATCCCTCCAGTTCCAGTCGAGAACTACATAACGCAAGGAGCGCAGATTCAAGCCATCTAAAAAACACAGAGGTATGAAAACAGGAGCTCTTCAAAAACAAACGTGAAAAATGAATTGAATTAAAAACCTTTCTCAATAAGAGCAGATAATCTTCCTGGCGTTCCCACTCCGATGTGAGTGACGCCTTTTTGTAGCAGTTTGACCTGTTCATCAATCTAACAAAAATAAAAACACTATTTATAAATGATGCAAACACTAGTGGCTTTTAACACAGTGATAATAATCTACCTTAATGTGCTTGGCAAAAAGCTTGAGGACTTTTGCTTCTCCCTTGAATGATGTCAGTTGCCTGGTAACACAAAGTGGATTATGAGCGGCCTGAATGCAACGCAGAAAGTTCTAATTCCAGCTTCTTACTTGATGAGCTCGATCGTTCTTAGAGCTGAGCTGCAGACGATGAGCATCACTGCGGAGCTCTTCTCTGTGTGTTGTTTGTGTATTTTCGCCCATTTTGGACAAACTTGAACAACAACAAAAACAGGGAAAGAAATGTGTGGAACTGTAAAAAAAAAAAAAAAAGAAATATTGTAACGAATAATACATTTACCTTGTTTGAGATATGACGAAAGGCTGTGAGTGAGATCGTTACAGGTCAGGAAGCAGGAGTCTGTCAAACACACAGGGCTTTAGAAAGTGGACCAGAACAAGTCTCTTTTTACTATTTAGTGCTAACCCTTGAGTTGCAGCTCCTCCAGCTCGATGACAGAGCATTTGTCGGTGAAGTACTTTGTCACTTCACTCTGCAGATCGGCGGCACACCCGGGTTTGGCCTCAGCTGAAGCCAACACGTCAGTTATGGTCTTCTTCTTCTTCTGTTCGACATGTAACATATTCACAGTTATGCTCGGTACATGTTGTTCTCTTTTCAAACAGCAGGTGGCAGCCCTGGGTCTCGTCACTTGCCTTCCTCTTCCTTTTGGGTTTGTTTGACTTGTCACTGTCAGGTTCTTTCTGTTCAGACACGGCGGGCGCTTTCTGGAAAATCAATAGGATGGTTGCATTATTATTGTTCACATTTTATTGTAAAAAAAAATTAAAATAAAATAGTTGTACGAACCTCTGCAATCTTTTTCTTCTTTATTGGCTTTGCCTCCTTTTCTGTCGCCCTTTTTCTTTTCTCTAGTTTTTTCTCATTTTTTACTGGTTTGGAGTCTGTTGGTTTCTCAACTTCTTCATTTTCTTCTGCTCCAGAATCACCTGAAAAATACAATAAAAATAATGTTGATAAAGCTGTGTATAAATGTGTACAGTTGAGTTTTTTTTCCCTTTGATTAATTTGTGAATGAAAAACAGACAATATCAAAACAGTACAAGGGAAATAAAAATAAAAAATACAACACAAAAATACAGTAAATATATTTGAGTGCAAAAAATAAATATCCTTGTGTGAAACCTCTTGCTATTTGAATATAGAGTATTTGACTTGAGCCACTGCGCTTGGTGCTCTCGTGTGCAGCTGCCTCTGGAGCCTGGAGTCCAGCCCTAATATTGATGTGGTCCTCTACCTTCCACTTTCACATTTGCTGTAGTGGAAATACACAATACTGGAGAGGAGGAAGCGACATCCACCCAGACTGGACCAAGAGCCACATTGAATGTATGCAAGTTATTTAGTAAGTAACAATATATTTTTATTAACTGAACCAAATGCATATAGTTCTGCTGCAGCGTTGATCAAATATCATCTCCAGAAATGTTATGATGGCCAAGTCACTATTTTATAATGAATTAAAAGGCCATATGATTTTCACATGTTTACTTTGTGTCTCGGGACGTCAATATACATCTGTTACATTTTGATAGAGCTAGATCTGGAAAAAAACCATCTTTGCTACAGATTGCTTTGCCTCGCTACCACTGACAACGCAAAAGTTCCCACCTAACATTGCATTTCTAGGTTCAATTATCCAGATAATGGCCCATATGGGGTCACTACTAAGGTCTGCACGAGTGCTGACATTGCACATACTGAGATCTCTGTCTAATAAGCTTTAAAACATCACATTTTTATCACTTTCAAGAGTCAGTAAAGAAAACAAGCAAAATCATGGTGAGCATTATAAAAATCTGGACCACAATAACGTCACCACCGCAATAACGGCAGAGAGAGACAGAGCGAGACAGAAAGATGAATCTAGACACTCTGTTTACAGCTCAAATAACCAGGAATCAATGGCTGCATGCAGCGGAAAGGCCACTGATGGAGGAAAACACTCCGTCTGGTCATCTGCAATGACCGATCAATATGTGACTGGTTTTAATGGACAGTCGATGGTGTCCACTCGATGTAATCAGGATGATGTTGTTGGGGAAATAGTTAATTACTTCTTAGTTGTTAAGACAGTTGGGATCACTTCAAATAAAATACTAGCCTTATCAGGTATTAGTTCAATAAAGCAAAACATATTACATATAATCAAACATCCCTCAGTTGTATACGACTGCTAAGGATTTAAGAACATATACACTTCATTTGACAAATGATGAAAAACTTTAACTGTGGCACAGAATATTTGATATATTTGGCTTAAAAGTATTAAAGGTGATATACAGTTGCATACTAAATTACCCACCGTCTTATTTTCAGATTTGATGTTATAAAACAATGTGATACAGTAGCAAATGTAGTTTCAGCAATCAATTCATCTGTAGGCAAATAACAACGCTTATACATTTGCAATACCGAAAAAGGTGGATCCTTGTTGCGGTTATGGGTTATGGAAGCCTGCTGTTTCTTCACTAAAGCTACAAAGTATTTATTTAATATTGTGAAATACATGGAGACTTATGGTTGTGTGCAAACATCTAAAAATCTTTTGTAGAATTATCATAAGGACACCATGTGATTTCAAATTGGTCTTGCTTCCCTATTCATAGTTGTATTGTAAATTGCTGTTTTATCTAGATGTATCAGTAAAAATGAGACATATTTGGGGAAGGTGTTGTAGGTGTGAGTGGTCAGTAGAGGGCGCAGTGACTGCAAAGTGCAGCAGCATACCTTAACATAGAGATCATGCTGGAGCACATGCATGTAAGCCATTTGTTTTGATGAATGTGCAGTGAAGCAATACAGCGTTTGTCCGCACTAATAAACCGAAGCCTGGGGTTTATTTAAATATCTACGATGTTACCTTCAGAGGAATTTTGTCTCACAAAAGGCTTTTTTCTCTGGACAAAAGTTTATTATCTGAAGTTTGTGCTTTAGGTCCTAGTTTAAAAACATCTTTCATTACTTTCTTACTGTACAGTGGGACTGGAATGCAAAGTGTGTTTTGGAAATCATTGTTAAGAATGTCAAGATGATGCAGGTATTAGAGGATGGACGGTCACAATAGAATCATAACAACTGGCAAAGTGACACTAGTTTAAAAAAGTTTAAAAAGAAAAATTCATTGGGACATCTATTGCACATCATCTTTATCGTTCAAAAAATTTGACCTAAAAATCTAGTCCTGGAGGAGAGACAAGAAAAAGTAAAGACAAGATAACCCCGAATTGCAGTTTCGGAGTTGTCTTGTTACGAAAATGTAATAATGTAAAACCCATCCAACAAGTTTTTCGCTCTCAAAACACTACTGGTTCCATCACTACTTTACAAGTAGATCATTTTTTTCTGACAGAAAAAAAAACACTCACTCTCAGCCAATAACGACTGCATTTACACAAGAAGAAAACACAAACTACGCAACAAAACCGGTTTTGCGTCGCTTTTTCCTCCAAACCGATCAAAACTGCACTGCTCACGACTGTAACATGCATGCTATTGGGAGTGCCTATAATTTGAGGCAATAAACAGGCCAAAGCAAGCCAACATTCACAACATAGTCAAAGTAAGACCTACCTTTACTTTTCCATGACAAACATACAAACCAATTCTACAGTAAATTACGTTCTTAACCAAACGCTTGTTAACCCACAATAAACACTGTGTTAAGAAAAACATAACAATGGAAAACAAAATCTATGTGTTAAAGCAACCCAAAACGGCTTCTTCAACTTACATGGAACTACTTTGACAGTCAATGCCAAAACTAATCATATGTAAACAACAGTGAACTATTAAGACTTAACAAATGCCACATGAGCGATCATTTTTCTCCATCCAAATCCATACAGCTTAATTAAATCCAAAATGCCATCCAGTTTCAGGTCACACCAGTGTCATTTGTTCCATTCTCTTTTCCTACCAATTGTTAAATAAATGATCTGAAAGTAATTTTTGTTATAAAACCATACATTACCTCACTTCTCAAACCTTTGGCTCGCACTCACTTTTCTATTTGAGTTCTATGAGATAATCAAGAAAGACTTGGCATAGCGGCGCCTGGCAGATATATGCTGGTGGCGTAATGTTGACGGATGGCACCGGAGCATGATTCTCATTCACAGATCAAAAGACGAGCGGGTTATTAAAGTAGCGGTCATGCAAAAATGTCCAGTTCATAAAATATTTGAAGCATGCCTGTCATAAAAAGCTATTTACAGGTTCACGGTGCGCAGAGGATATTAAGCCTTGCCCGGCAGGAGCACGGCCACATCTGGCACTTCACACCTATCAAAGGCCATAAAAGGTAAACGAGACTCAAATATTTAACACCTTCTTCCTGGCACAGAGGGAGAACACAGTAAAACAATGAAGGTCAATGACGTCAAGGCAAAAGTGACTTGTGCTGATGCTATGGCCTGCTTTTCTAAAGAGAGATCTCAGAGCGCTCTTTGGCAGTTCTGAATTTACTCCAGGATTTGAGAACTAGTTGCAACAAAAGTGCACATAATATGTCAGAATAACTATTGATATTAGTGTAGCAAGTGCACACAGATAATAGTAATACACCAAAAAAACATGGGTTCCTTTCTCACGGTGGTGGAGATATGGATAGTTTATACTGTGCCTCAAGGCAACATCTTGGCCGGTTTACGTTTTATAACTTGGGTGCACTACAAAAAGTGATACAAAAAAGTTCATATAATGATTAGTATTTTGAGAATAGTAAAAGTGTCTTGGTTAACAAACAAAAAACAATATTCAAATAGCTAGTATGCTTTTTAGGTGCACAATGTAAGAATTTGGGTTAAAAAAAGACTTATTTTCCAAAGCCTTCACCCCTAAATAAAAGTGAGTTAGATCTCGGCTCAGTTGTTACTAGAATAGTAGATCTTTGTTGGATAAATGTTGCCTGCTCCTGGTATAATCTGTTTAAAGCAACCCCATAGCAACAATTTTACCTTCTAAAGCACACGATCCAGACTGTCACCACTTAATCATTTAAACGGTTCTCAAAAAGGGAAAACAGCCAAATCCGTTAACACAGGAAGAGCTGTTGTAATGAGATGTACGCTCACATTTATTCACAGGAATGTCAGAAATGTGGGCTGGTCGACATCACACCTGGGTGCGTGTGGAGAGCAGATTTTCAGATTGCAGAGAGTGCAAGTGGAAGCATTGCTGCACTGATTCTGGACTGATAGATGTGGCCTTGAACAGACCGAGATGTGATCCTGGACAGTGTTTGGATGAGGGTTATGTTCTCATTTCAAATGTTAGAGTAAATATTATTCAGAGAAAGAAACACAACGATATAACGTATACTGCACTCTATATTACTCGTCATGTCGTGGTGTTTATTTTTCACAAATTTCATATTTGCACGGCCTAATATAGCCTAACATTCTACAACTCCTCTACTACACTATGAACATTGCTACAACTAGTTGCTTTTTTGAGCATTGAGTTTGCTTTTTTACGCTTATGGAAGGGTTTGGGTTAGCTCCAATGCACGTGGATTACATCAATGAGTTAATCGACTATATGCACATGGCAATTTAAAATTATGACAAATTTTAAATCAACACTTGTCACAGTGAGAAAAAGCCAACTGCATGCACACACTTGTTTGTTGTTGACATTGTAGTTTTGAAAAGTATTTCAAAAATTCCAACAACTTCCAGTTTTCTGTCCAATCAGGTGTCTGAACACAGCTCATGAATAAGGCAGCTCTGGGGACAAATCAACACTCATGGATTGTGAAATCATGCCATAAAGTCATGCTAACCTGACCTAATGGCAATTATTATTTTTAAAACAGTGTTTTGAAAAAACTACTTAAAAATTCAAGCACTTCCATATTCCAGAAAGTTTGCCGTGCATGTGACCAACTTTATGAAAATCAAATGGTGTGCTTAAAAACGGCCCCATTAAAAAGGACTTTTAATGCTTTTGCTTCAATAATATATTATAATATAATAATGTTATTATTTTTAAGGTCTTATGATGATTATATTATTGCTGAACCTATGATCTTGACATCCCTGTGTGTGAGGAGGGTCTCTGTGGCGCAGCCTGGCAGACATTAGGCTGTATCTGAGCCAGAGAAGCAGCATTTCTCATGTCTGGTGCAGCGAGGGTCCGCACTCGTCGCTACCTGACTCATGTGGTACAGAGATGGTGCAGGCTCAAGTCAATTAGAGGCCAAGGGCACATAAACACCAACATGTGGCCTGCACCGATTGCCCTCATTAAGTGCTTGCATAAAATGAGGCTGAAGGTAAACACACTGTGAGCTGAAACCTGCTCGCCCCCAAAGAAAATTCAATGATATGATACAAATGTTACATTTGCCATTAAAAATGATGACGATATCATTTATGTTGTCATTTCACATTGAAGAATTTAAACTATATCTGAAGTAGAAAATATATGGTGAAAAAAGAAGCAAGGGGAAACAATCTGATTTACCTGCCCTATCCCTGTGCTGCCACCAGAGGGAGGTATATTGGTTTTTTGTTTCTTTTTCAAATTTGAACGTTGCCGGCAGGATACAGAGCATCAACATAAAACTAATTTTTGCTTTAAAAGGCAGACTGTTCTGATTGCAATGTCATAGTGGTCTATTCTATTACAGGACTGATTAAAAGCACATCTATTGCATTCATGGCCATGCATGTTGCATGTTGCATGTTGTTAGCTCCAAGTTTGTCAGTTCCATTATTAGGTAACTTTTTATATCTGACAATATAGACCATTTTGATACTAAAAACAATACAATACCAACTGATACAACAGTGACCATTTATAAACTGTAAAAGTGAACTCAATCAATGTCATTTTCAGGTTTAGTAATAAATGAGTACTAATGTTATACAGAATTTTGAGGTGGAGCACAAACTGTTATGCAGGAGTTCAGCTGAATGTGGTCAGGGTGTTCATTTGACTCATGAGAGGCCAGTTAAAGAGGGAGCTATTAAAGCCTCCCCAGTGATTGTTCAGAGCCTCCATCATTCGTGCTCGTCGCCGCTAACAAGAGGAGGACCGTGGGCCAGAACAGCCTCATTCCTCATTTTGACTGATGCGCAGACATTTTTACTGATGCTAAAGGGGCCATTTTGTCTGCTACACTGTTTGGTGCTAACGGATCAGTTTTTAGCTTGTTTTTTCATTCTCAAAGTTGTGCCTGCCCCTAAAAACCAATAGGAGCAGGCAAAAGCCAAGTTGAGAAAAAGTACATTTTTTTACAAACATAATGTCCCATGTGCAACAATCCGCTCTGAATAATAAGTATTGCCGTACCCCAACGCAAGTGGAAACTTGACTGGGAAAGGTAATAAAAGGAGATCCCTGCAACTGAAAGTTTGGAGTGCAGGATTGTGACTGCAAAACAAAGAGATGACATCATTTCTGCACTAATCTGAACCTTCTTGTTTCTCCCATGAGCTGGAACAAGTTAACTGCTTCTCATTCACACAAACAAAAGATTACAAAAATACTTCTTCTTTTGGCCAAACATGGTCCTTCTGTCTGGACTTTTGTATTTGTGTGTCTATGTGGTTGTTATTAGGGAACCAATTTGTGATGTAAACGGAAAACTCAGACAATGTTTTTTAGGGAACTATTATCATGAACAACGGTCTTGATAATGTTTGTATAGGATGTTTTGTATGTAAGACATTCCGATAAACCACATCATTTAGGAAGCAATCAAGTAGAAACAATCTTATTCAACAATAAGTGGAAAAAAGGATGCATTTAAAGATTGTGTAACATGCTTGACAGGTTACACAACTGTCAAGCATGTCAACTCTTGGGTTCTAATTTAGATTTATGAGATCGCTTCAAATATTTGGCTTGAAACCCTTCTCCAACCATTTTTATTTTTGATAGGAGCCAAAACAGCACCACTGCTTGAGAACATGAAAGCCAGAAGACACAGCCAACCTTTACATGACCAACTCTCTCGGGACGACTTGTTATTTCTACTCAGTATTCTGGAAGGAGAGCTACAGGTTTGACCATAGAACTTCAACAATCCAAATCGATAACACGACCATGTAGTAAATAATAACTTGAATGTTTGAACCATGCTAGGCCCGCGATGAGGTAATCGTTGTGTTGAAATCGGAGCGAACAGACGGCGCACAGCTGGGGGCACACTATGGGAGCAGAGCAGAGGAGGCGTTCAGGGCCCTGTACAGAGACTGTCTGCGAACTCAACGGGACTTCGTGCAAGACGTGTGCAAGCCGACAGCTCAGGTACCACCGTGACACTGAGAACATGAGGTGCATAATGTAAGCTACTTAACGAAGAAGCCATTAGTGTCTCTGAAGTTTTACTGTAAAGACATTAGAGCTGCCAGATGTATTCAAGTAAAATAGAAGGAAAATATTGATATCTTCTCTGCCAACAACAAACTCTCCGGTATTCATTTCTAGAGACTGAACCATTTTGGACTTTTTGGAACAGATGAGGATGTTTTGTGATTCTGCTCTGCTGCTGACATGTTTATACGCCCCATCATGTAAATCTCTTTTTTCATCCTTTATTTGTTGATGTTAGCTCCGCCACAAACACTTTACAGTAGTCAAATAGATCTGTTAATTTTGATGCGAGAACATTTTTAAAGCTAACATTCTAAAGTATCCAAGTTTGACAAAATACATTGGCAGCAGTAACTTCCAATGATTTCAAATGAAAAACAGCAAATATAAACATACAATTGAACAATGTTCTATTGACTGAACAGGGAAAATTGTCTCATTTTGTCCCATTGTTGCCTGTCTGTGATAAGCGGATGCCCTAACTCATTCCCAAAGTCAGTAACACTTACTTTAAAAGCCCCCTTAAAAACTGACGGGTCTGCGCGGCCCCCTGAAATAATAACTAAGAAGAAAACGTTAAAAATAGGCTCTACTCGTTATTTCATTTGGGGGAAATAGCCTCTGCTACAAACATGTAAATGATTCACTCCATTTTGTAATACAAAAATGATTACAATTTGATCATTCAAGTCAAATAATGAACACAAATATTTCAATATTACAAACAAAATAATATTAATTTAACATACAATAATTATATAAAACTTTTTTATGACCTTTTGCAGCCCCCCTGCAATACCCTGCGGACCCCACTTTGGGAGACACTGCCCTAACTTACCACTAAGCCAGGGGTGTCAAGTCGGTCCAAGTCATTGTCCTCAAGTCTGGCAGCAGGTTTTTGTTCTGACCAAGCTTGGTTGGAACTAAAAACTGCAGCCACACAGGCCCTTTATGGCACCAGTTTGTCACCCCTGCTCTAAGCACATATTTGGTTTTATAAATTTGGTTACTTCCAAGCTGTTGTGATCGGTACATAGAAATTGTGAATCACGCCGGTGCTTTTTGTTTTGTCTGCTGCAGATGAGTGCTCTGGTCCAGGCCCAGAGGAAGTGTTCTCTGCAGGTGAAGGAGCAGGTGCTGATGGTGTCTCGCTTACACCACAACACCATACGCAGACTGGAGGAGCAGGAGAGGAACCACCAGGAACTTGTGCACAAGAGCAAGACACTTATCTGTGCATTGGAGCAGGACAGACAGAGGTGAATGACTGGCTTAGAAATTGAGTTTTGATGGCTATAACTTTGGTGAGTTTTTGTGACGTTCAAGTGCCCTGCAGTTCACATGCGGTGCCATGTAATGTTCTTCACGGCTGAGCGAGAAGGCTAATGCACTGGTGGCCAATGCGCTTCTCCCAAAGACACTGAATCTGACCTCAACGCTGTACTTAAGAGTTACAGCACTCAGATACACTCCATTACACCCTGGACGTGGAAAGGGCTTGTTTCCAGCTTGGCCCTGTTCTCTTTCCCCCTGCAAACATAATAAACATGCACTCACATTCAATGATGACCAGAGCCCCAAATTGCACCCTACTGTCCAATTCAACAATACCGCAGTGCGCAGCATGGAGCCCTCATCTAAATTAAGTTAATGGGGCTGCGGGTTGGTCCGAGAAATTCCTATCCAAAAGAGAAAGCATTCAGATGTGGCTGGTGTCTCTATGGCAAGACCTAACATGGAGTTGGTCACAAGTTTTCCGATGCTATTTGGGGCACGTAACTGCGCTTCATTGTGCCAGCCCTAACCCAGTGTGCTCTGTAATCATTCATAAAGTGGACCCGCAGAAACAATTCAGCTTCAAAAGCAGTCAAGACATTGTGATGCTTGACCAAATTAAATTTCAAATAGTTTTTCAGTTTTAGTTAGCAGAGTTTAAACATGCAAAGGATTGTAGAACACAGAGCTTGATCTGAGTTATAATGATTAACATGGTGGCAGCCTGCAAGTCTGCTGTGGTGGAAACCCTGTGTGGCTCATACATTCCTGAATACTTAATCACAAAGGTTTTCCATGACTTTTTCTCTATAGATTCCTTCTGTGTTTAAAATCCTAGTTTAAACTTTCTAAGAGGCTGTGATGGATTTTGTGGCAGGTGTTAGATCTTTTTTCAGGCAAAAATAACAGTTCCTCTCATTTGATGGGAACAGTTTTCTTTATACTTTTGACATAACCCGAAATGCTTTGTTGAGCTTGGCACCAAAAATCATCTTACATTGATCCCAGGGGTAAACAACCCATGTTTTCAACTTCTCATGTTTGTTTCAAGCCAGACTGCTTGATTTCCACTCTGAAAACTCCTTCAAATCAACCACCTAATTCAAAGCTGCTGGAGACAACCTGGAATTAGCAAGGCCGTTTTTGTTCTTGTAAAAGGCTAGTCCCAAGGTGCCATGTGCGGAGCAGATGACCTGTCCATGTTCAATTCTATACGTTCAGATTTAAGTCACGCTACAATCACTTGCCATTCCTGTTGCGTGTTAGAGAGTGATTACATGAACACATCACAATGCAGAGTTCTGGCTACAATGATCGCAACCGTTAGAAAGAGAGCATTCCCTGACACTGCCTTCAGCATCTTCAAAGAGCATCTTCGAAACAAAAAGGGCATCACTGCATATAAGAGGAAAACCCATCAGGCTTGAGTCAGTCTTTGAGCACCACTGATGTGGCCTCATCAGTAACTCATCTTAAGCTTGGTCATAATCTTCAATGTTAAAGTAAGTGTTAAAGTTCAAAAGGGACAAAGTAAACTTGGCATTGTGATGAGAGGAAGCCCACATCTGCCATGTCTTCCTCTCACACTTACAGTACTTCCACCATCTGTCTACTTTTCAGGAGGTCTGGCACTGCTACACTTTTCTACAATGGCCTGTTTCTAATCAAGCTGTTAAGTATTTGAGCAAGGCATTACAACATATAGTAGTTGATTTCTTAATGAGGAATAAAACAACAAGTTGAGATCAGAGCTAATGGTACCAACAAGAAAGATAAAAAAGTGCACAATGCAATGTTCATTTCATTCATTCATTTTAATTCATTTTCAAACCCCTTTGTTAGTCCATTTCTGGGTCGGGGAGCTGCCACCCAATGCACATAGTACCAGTCCCTCTGATCCTCCTGCAGGTGGTGGGTCAGGAAGATGGCTGCTCTCTCAGTGACACAGCCTTCGTCTTTCAGCAGGGGCTTCGAGCAACTTGAGGTTAAGTGTCTTGCCCAAGAACACAACAGCAGCAGACAGAGCAGTGGGAGCAGTTTGAGTTTGAGCAAATGCTCTACCAACTGAGCCACTGTCACGATGTTCATTTCGAAAGGGGTTTAATGGGAAAAAAACTTGACTGAAATGGGTCTTAAGTGGCCAATAGCCGATTGGATTGGCTTGCCTAGTGGATTTGATACAGTAAATAAAATAGGTGGGTTACTAATGTGCTAGTGAGCAGTTAGAATATATATCAAATAATGCCTTGATAGCTATTATGCATCTGTGGTCATTTGTAGCCATGGTAGCACATGTTTAAAAAAGTATTTAGAGAGACGTTTACACCAATTATTCTATTTTTTATAGAAAAATCCATCTTTAAAATCCACCACAAAAAATCTTTGGGTTGATCTCGAGTGAACTCAACAGTGTGAAATAACATATTTGTACTGCTTGCATCACAAATATAAAAAAGGTACCCAGTCCTATACTGCTTTAACACAAGACTGGATGTGTTCTCATTTTACTATTTATCAATTACACAAGTTGACAGCCAAAACATGGTCAGGGGTTTTTCAACTGATTTAGACTAATTTTGGTGTTCTGAGTCCAAATATCACATGTATTTTGCTCTATCAGGTCAACTTTTTGAGATACAGCCATAGTGTTACGGATTATGTATGTCTACGTTATTATGAATTCTGCTTATCAAATTTGATGGAGTAAATAAAAACTGAATGACTTTGGATACGTTGACCTTTATTTCTTGAGGAAAACGGAAAAAACGTCAAGGGTTTCTCAGCTGATGGTCCGCAGAAATTTGTTTTTTTACGCAAAATCGATTAAAAAAATATTTCTGTAGCAAAAAATCCTGACCTGATTGAGCAAAACCAAGGTCATTTCAAAATTAGTCTAATTCAGCTGGAAAACCCTGGACTATTTTCAAAAAATATTTTTTTGTTACCCAGTGTTATCAGACATGATAGAGACAAACGTCTATACGTAGCAGAGCTCTGTGACAATAATCACCATACCCTTTCACAATACTTTGAATAAAATATCTAGAGCCTTTCAACATTTGTTTTTAACAACTATAAATGTACTTTCCACACTGAAGACAAAACACCAAGAGACAATGAGTCATTTTTGTGAAAGAAAATCCTATTGTAATTGTTGGATTAGGAAGGCACTCAGTCTTCAAATTATACCCCTGACTGACAGCAAGACTTCTCTTCACATGCGGCGTACGTTACATATAGAGTTAGAGAGTGCTCTTGGAAAACCCTCACAGGTCGGCTCCTGCTTGTAATTGAGAACAAACTGGTCCTCATGAACCATGCTTTTGGATAGTTTCTGAATTATGTGAAAACCAAATAGGACTGATCTGATATTTTGTAAAAAGAGAGCACATCAATATCACCAAATTAAAAAGCCGAATTTGGCAGAACATTTTAAGGCTACCAAATATTTGGATCTTTTTTCAAACTTGCATAAAAAGTTTATGAAGTGTTCAGGGGCATTTTCTGACTCTGAAAGCATTAACTTAACTTTTGTGACTTTTTTGCAAATTGTAATTGGACTTTCTGAATGGTTCTACTTTTGAATTTCTGAATTTTGTGCAGTTGTTGAAGTTTTTGTAGCATTTTATTTTTTTTACATACTTTTTTATTTCACAGACATTTTTTTAAATTATCTTTTACTGCAGTCACTCACTATTGCAGTTCCTCCTACTGCGTATTATTACCAGAGACAAGTGGGTTTATTAAGATGGTGACTTTATTCTGCATTGCCAAGCTCTTAGGACATACAGGACGAGAGAGGTACATGACGATAGTAGAATGATAAATGATGGCCTCCAACCAAAGTAAATGATAGAGTAGGGAGATAAAGTGGTGGTTGGGAAGAAAGAGAAAAGAACAAGAGAAACATATGGATGTAATTGAAGAGATGATGTCATCTCAGTCAGGTTATCAGGCCCCAAGCACAGCCACTGTGGTGCACAAAACATTTTTGTCCTCTTAAAGAGCAACACACACACACACACGCACACACAGAGACGCGCACATGCAAACATCCCCACACAGGTACGATTACAATGTCAACCGTGGGAAATCCTGAGAACATGCTTGAATATATAGGCTAATTAGACATTTTGTCTTTGGACACATGCATACACTCTGTCCTTCCCATCAGCCTCTTTGGCATGGCTGTACAATGACCTCATCTGGAATGGGCTGAACTCCAGTAAAAAACACAAACACACACACTGCTCTCTGGCCCGTACAGCTCCTTCCTTATAAGGATGTGCTGATGATGTCATGGGCGCCACCGACTGCGAGTGAGACTAAGAGTGCAGAGTACTTCACATAACGCTGAGTTTTCCACATGGACGGTCCACATCACCAGGGGAGATGAGAGAGTGGAGACAGGCTCTTCTCGGAGGGGTGTAGGACATAGGGACAACAGCTAAGGTAAGGATGCATAGGCAGAGCTGCAGAATAGCAACTTTTCATTCAAATATATGTATATTTGATCACTAATTGAGCTATAACAAGTGAGATTAGGTTCTGGGCACTTTTGTTCTGATATATTAATCACCAACCTAGAGTACATTCTATTTATAAAAAAATATTAAGATCATCACACATTGCTGAATACCCATCTTTACTGAGGCTAGTGTAAAAACGGTGGGAACGAGGTTTTTAAGTGCTCCCATTAGTCTTGCATGTGGTGCGTTGTGTGCCTTTGTGTACTTGTACAGTATCCTGGAATGTGTCTATACGGAGTGATTGGTAAATCCAGCAGCAGCCTGTAATTACTTTTTGAGCAGGGGGGAATTCCTGCCTTTTTGAGCTGGAAACGATGCCAGTAAAGATGCTCTGAATGAGAGAGATTGGATTAATGGGACTAGAGGGTAGAGGAACTTCTTAATGCTGCTCTAGTACATCATGCAAAACTATTCCCCGTTTCCAAATACAGCATGGTTGTGTGACTAGCAAGATTTTGAGATTTGAAATTTGTATTTATTTCTCTTTGCAGACTAAAGCTCCTGAATGCAAAAGAAAGAGAATACCAACATATAAAGGAGGAAAGGAATGAGAAAGAGGTGTTCGGACTGAAAGAAGAACTGCACAGACTGAAGGCATTTGCTCTGCTGGTTGGAACAGAGCATCAACTATTGACCAAAGAGCTGGTGGAACAAAGAGATCGGGTCAAAAAGTTAAACAACATCACAGAAACTTTGAAGAGCGGAACATTTTACCTCAGACAGGAGAAGGTAAAAGTTAAACAACGCATTATGACGGCAAAACACGGAGGACTGGAGGAGAAAAGACCTCTTCTGAGAAAGACTGATGGATTTTGGGAGCTAAACGCCAAAGGCCATAGGTCAGGAGGGCCGGGTTTGATGTCAGAAGTGGAGGTGTTGAGGAGGAGAGTGGTTGAAATGGAGGGAAAGGATGAGGAGTTGATACGTATGGGGGAGCAGTGCCGCGAGCTGGAGCAGAGACTGACGAAAGAGAACGTCAACGGCAGTAATCTCCGGGATGATGTGGATAAGCTGAACAAAAGAATTAATGAATTGGACAGGATTGAGGGTGCTTTGGCAAAAAGTAGACAGGAGTGCGGTGCCCTAAAAATCAGTTTGGAGAGGGAGAAGGAGGTGTGCAAGGCCTTGAACATTGAACTGGACAAGCTGAAAGTCAGGCTTAGAGAATCAGAGGTTTGTGAGGGTCAACTCCAGCAAAGTGAGGCTGCCATTAAGCACGACCTGGCCCATCTCAGGTCACTAACGGTCGCACTGGTAGATGACAGGAATAGTATGAAAGAGAGGCTCAGACAGGCCGAAGAAACACTCAGTCGGAGAAATGAGCAGGGCAATTTAGCTCCCAATGAAAGGCTTAGAGCAGCAGATTTACAGGAACGAATTAAAGGCATCGAAAAAGAAAAAGAGGAACTCAATGCCAAGCTGAGAACGGAGGAGGAAAGGAGTGGCGAGTTAGAGGCGAAGCTGTCCATTATGAGAAGACGGCTACAGGTTTTGGAGAACAGGAGAGAAAAAGAAGAAAAGAGAGAGAGCGTAAAGTACGGCTCAGTTCCAAACAACTCAAGTCATCAATGCCAGACCCAAAACAACAAAGTCAACGAACTGAGCCAGGAGCTGGAACGGTTGCGCAAGACGCTTCAGGACAAAGAGGTCTTGGAGGGGGCGCTAATGAAAGTGGAGGAGGACTATGAGGTTATGGAGAGAAGGTTCAATGAGGAACAGAGACGGACTCATGTTTTGGCACAAGAGCTAGAAATAGCCAAATTTGAGGTGGCAAAGTACCAACAGGCAGAGAAAGAAGAAACCAACCAAGAACACCAGCTCTTGCAAAGGTTACAACGAGAGCAGGTCAAGTCTAGGCTTTTGAGCAGAGAAGTTGAGTCACTCAAGGAGAAACTGCAAAGCATGATGGGAACAGAGGACTCCATAAGCCAAGTCCAAAATGACCACTCCTCACTGCAAAGGAAACTGACGCAACAAGAGAACAAGAACAGAGATCTGGCCAGAGAAATGCTTGAGTTGTCCGATGAGTTAAACAAGCATAAAACGTTTAAAAATATGCCACGTGAGTCCACCAGATTGGTGATGTTGCGTCAAACTAAGGAAGCCCAAACTGACCCAAATGATCTTCAGTACAGCACTTCAATATCAACAAACCAGGATGACAAAGATGCAGAGGACCCCAACCAAAACACAGCGGGTTCATCTCATATCCAAAACCTGTACGACCTGAACAGCGCTAACAACAATATCAGCGTGTTCAGCAACAACGTAGCAAGCGGCGTAGATGCAGTGAATAGAGAGGTGATGATGCTGACCCACACATCTGGTCAGCCCTTGCACATCAAAGTCACTCCGCATCACATGCTTAACACGGCAACACTGGAGATTAGCAGTCCTTTGTCTGATGTGGCTACCTCCTACACCAGCACCGCAGTCATACCAAACAGCCCAGGCCAGTCTAAGCAGAGAATCACCATCATTCAGAACACAAACAGCAGGAGCCCCCCTTCAAGTCCGGACCGCACCTTATCACTCAATGCATCGCCCATTGCTAGAGTAATGAGTCCAAATTCTTCTCGTTCTGCCACACCAGACCAGAACTCTCCCATACAAATAGTAACAGTGAGGACGTGTTCTCCAGAGCTAGAAGCAGTGGGTTTATGCAAAAGTCTGGAGCGGCAGAGCAGCCTGTGTCATGAAAGATCCAACAGTATTGATACAAGTTCAAGTATCAGCAGTTTGGATGACAGCAAGATACATATCCATCTAGGGAGTCCCTACATACAAGCCTTGAATGGAGTGAGCCACAGCATTCCTCCTTCTCCGGTTCCATACTATGTAAGACATGAACAGAGAACACAGGTAGTCACAAACGGCTGTCATGTCAAAGGGGTGGGCAAAATAACCAGCAGTATCACAATCTCTCCTGCAACTTCTCCAATCTCACACTCAAATATAACAGTGAGCGGACTGTGTGACTAGAAGTATATTGTACAAACACATGACAAAGTTGTGTAATTTTTTTTGTCTTATAATCAGTTTAGTAGCAGCATAATTGTGGAACATGCACAAAAACTTGGAGTGGAACAAACTTATTTTTTCTCATTGATTGATCTTTGGCCCAGATGCTGAAGTGAAGCCACAGGAGAACATCCTATTAGTTTTTTTTACTAGAACATATTTTTAGTATGTACTTTAGTCACTTTTCTGTTGGTTATAGCCCGAGTAAAGACAGCATTTAAGTTGATTAAATGGACCATTGTACAATGTTAACAATGTTTGGATTCATAATTAAAATGATTAAAGCTTGCATTTCTACCATACAATGTTTACATACTTATTTTACTCTGTCATGTATACAGGTAACTTGCACTACATTCAAATTAGAGTACAACAATCATGTGTTGGCCAAAAATGATTGTTAGGAATTCAGAGAGAAAGATGCCAATCAAATCCATGTTATTCTGTACCAGTGAAAACAACAACAAATTAACCAATGTTCACAGGAAATATGATAATCTATAGGGCAACATATTTGGGACAAAAGGTAGAGCTGAATTTGATTAAATGCAAACTTACTACAGATCTGTAATAGACTAATACAAGAAAGTTCAATACTTTTCATAATCGTCAAAACCAGACAAATTTTAATATAGTTATAAAGAGGTAATCCAGAAAGAAATCAATTGAACATTAATAATATGATTACGTTTATAAAAAGTTGTAAGAAAGTATGCCTGCGCACCGAGTCTCCAGACTACTGACATTGTACTGCCCTCTGCTGGTGGCTTTACAGTAGTCCAATCAAAGTGAAATAAAGCTGGAAAAGTCGACTCTTACTAATAAATACAAGGTCATGCACTGTCTTTCAAGAAGTGCTCGTGTTACATCAAAGGCTGGTACACGTCGATAACACAATAATAATGTGAAACATACTGGTAATAGACTCAAAACACAAACACGTGTCGTTCCTCACACATGCTAACGTTAGCATAGCTTCATCATAACAGCGTTATAAACCATATGGCTAGTGACATAACATATTTTAACCTAACAACCCTTAGCATCAATACTCGATCGTTTAAGTCAATGTCATAGCACTGTAGCTCTAAGTAAATGCAACACATCTACCTTTGATAATAGTATTTCTCCACAGTTAGGATCTATAAACTCATAGAATGTGGAAAGTGAAGACATACCCGATTTCCCTTCATGGCTCCACCACTCGTCTCCCAAATCGTCCCCCATATTGTAGATTGATGTGATGGAGTTGTTCTCATGGATCTGGTTGTTCACTACAGAAGAGTGGAGGGGGGGTGTGTTCAGGGACATCCCGTTATGCGCAACACAATTTTCTATAACATTTTCGTCGGGATTAAATCAAAACACTAATGTATTAATATTATTTCTATTCATTCAGGCTTATATTAAAATATGGTAGCCAAAAAATCTCCTAGAAAGACAACAATAAATAAAGTTGTATTCTATTGCAACCCTTTTCATTATAGTGCTTCCAGAAATCTGTTTGGTCCAATTATCTACCTTTATTATTATCAACATGTGAAGACTATCCCTTCTATTGCACAAACTATGTGTAATCTGTGTTGTAGTCCTTGACATGTGAAGTATCCAAAATCCAAATCCACTTCACTTCCAACAATTTTCCAGCGACTCAATGTATTTCCTAAAATATCCAGCAGAGGGCACTGTAATCCACTGCAATTCAAAATAAAAACCATGGCAACGTCAATAGGTGTTCTGGGAGCCATTGGAGGACATGCACTGTGCTTATTGAACCATCACATCATTGCAGAGGGACATAGTTCAAGAGAAAAATACTGAATATAGCTCTCGGAACAATGACTGGATGACACAGATGTCTTTGTAATCCACTTACTTTGTACAATGAAAGAAAACCAATATCTGTCAATGGCATTGAGAGAATGTTGCTTCTTCAAAGAGAATTTGCAGATGTTATATAATAACACAACACCTACAAACTCAGGTGGTAATATTTACGCTGCACTCTATTATTCTGCAAAGTCAAGTCTTTCTTGTTCTGATGACAAAACAAGTTTATACCTTTGATTTCTGTTTGCCAGAAATGCCTCATAACACTGCACTTAGCCACAGTATTTGGCAAAGCATCAGAAAGTTTAAGTAGCAATTTAATTAAGTGCATTATGATATGACTTATTTGACACATTTCAATGATATATTCAAATAAAATACTCAATTAACACAAAAATAACATGTTTCAATGGTATAATTCCACATGAAAGTTACTTTGGTAATGGCCGCTTTGGTTTATAGCTGTGGATGGCTGCAGTTTATCACAGAAGAGTGAGGAAATCACATGACGCCAGTGTTATTTCAAACGACTGTTTCCGGATGTACAAAGATCTTTTCTGTCACACATATGTTGTATTTGATTATAATGTTCTTGTATTTTTATCACATGAATTTGCAAATAATTCCACTTTACCAATGTGCAGTGAGGGTGGCCTTAAGTAGACTTTGTGTGTTTGGAATATCAATGCAATTCTATAAAATATGCATGTAACTTGAGTGAACTCAGATTGTAACTATAAAGTAATGGTGTTAATATATTTGAAATTGTTTTAAAAGTATTATTGTGATCTTGTTTGTTACATTTACGCTGTGTTGGACAAAGAGGAAAAAAATGGATGGATGGATAATTAGACATACATATTTCTTGTGAATGTAAACGGAATATTGTACTTTCTTTCCTCTCTCTCTCACTGTCCATCTACACACATCAGATAAACACATGAACTGCAATCAAGCATAAACATGAGCTTAATACTCCAATTCATTCTTTGTTTTGCATCCATTTTGAAATTTTGCAACATTATTTTTACCCACAACCTCCCCTCCACCCCCTTCATTTGTGATTACATTGATGACTATTGTCGCATTTGCATAATTACTTCTCTCATTCTGTTCTGCCGGATGAACAAACACAAACAATGTCCCCATCCAGTCTGAACAACATCCCCAGGTGAGTGACTCATTACGAGGGAATTGTGGTCCTCCATAGTTCACCATTTGCACGTACGTTCTATCGAGCTTCTTGTCTCGTCTGTTCTGGCTGCTGTGTGCACTGTATGAGCACTGTAACACATTTCTGTAAAGTTACAATGAAATTTCAACATTAAAGAAATGTTATTTTGAAAAACAATTCAAACATGCAAATTTAAGTATAAATGGGTTGAAAAACATCCACTGGTGTTTTATTACCACAATTATAATGTGATTGCAAAAAATCGTTACAATACCATAAAATCACATGCGATTACCGTAATTTAACATCAACAGCTGGGAAATGTTTGCTAGCAACCAACCATGAGTGTAAGAGCTGTAAACTCTTTTGTTAACAAGGTGCTTTTGAGTTACGCGTGTAATAGAAGTAAAGATTTCCACTATTTCCTTGTATAAACTGAAGATGTTAAAAAATAATTGAACAGTTGTGTTCATGAAAGGACAAAGAAATTAAACTGTGTAGTTTTTTGTTCAATGAAACTAATTAGAAACAGAAACAGTCGTATGGTGTAATAATACAAAATGAACATTATAATGCTGTTTTTGTTGTATGTGAATTAACAGGAATATACAGTTAAATCCTGAAATCACAAAGGCATAATGTGATTCAGTGAAACAGTCTTTAACCGTCAAAATTAGCAACGATAATGCCATGTTGAGATAACGGTAAATTCCTGGAACCATATTTGCCAGCATTTTACTGTTTTTCTACAAGGACATTTTTTACAGTGCAGCCGCCCTGTTTTTTCCCATCCCTTTAACATTATCATAATTCACTTTATCTTTTATGTTTTCTGGTCCTACTCAGGTTTTGAACCAGTCTTGTAGTCACTGTCACAAAAATGAATTATAATGTTTGATGGAGGTAATTTGTAAGCGTCATTTGGTGTTATTCAGAAAGTACATTTGTTTTAGTGCAATTAATAACAGTAATAAATCACTGTTTGTGTCTATTGCGCTATTGCCATTAAAAATGTCCTTGCCAGATGATGCCAACATTTCTAGGAACAAATTTAGCTTTCAAAACTAAAATTATGAGTTGGTTCTGTTAGTTTTTGACAATTTTAGATCTAATAAAGACCCTTTGAATTTGTATCTCACACATTATAGTGCTATGTTTGCATGGGGCGACAGTGGCTGAGCATTAGTTTTCAGATTAAGTGGTTGTGGGTTCGATCTCCTCTCGAGTCATGTCACAGACTCCCACTGTTATCTGTTAACGCAAACGTTTCCCTGGGCAAGACACGTAATCCCACCAAGACTGTGTCGTTGCAGGAACAGCGAGGGGCTGGTGCTATGCAGATTGGGTGGCAGCTCTGAAGGCCACCCCAACGCCCCAAAAAATGTATTAAAATGTCCACACTTTATTAATTATCATATAAACTGTGCTATACAAATAAAAACTTGCCTTGCCTTTGATGCCATTATTATTGGTGATGTTATTTGGCAGCATGTATTGATATGTATATTGTGACACATTAGCATTGTTAAATTATATATCATAAATATATTTTAAATGGCTCCTTGTGTAAGTTTACCTCCTAATGACAACATTTTATGCAATACTGGAAAATCCATGTTGAG